TAGCCTTTTGGGGTTCCCAAAGTTCCCAAGTGTGTGCAGTATTAGTTGCAAAGGCCTTTGGATCCTAGCCTGCTTGTCTAATCTTCTCAGTAAGCCCAGGAGTGAGACAAGAGCCAGCTGTGTGTCTGTACCCTTCTTTTGAACAGTAGGATTCATAGCTAGCAGCAGCATCATATCCCACCATTCTTATTCTGATCTTTTGTGCTTAATCCTCTCCTGGTCTTTCTGAATGCATTTTTATTCTTTGAAACAGTTAAAGAAGTTATTATTTAATTGAAAGAATGTAAATCCAACATGGAAGACCAAATGAACGTAGCAGCACAATTCCCATATAACGTTATTGAAATGAGCCTTGGAAATTCTCCAGCTTGTACACTTAATTTGCCGTCCTCAAGTTCATTTGCATCTCAAAAATTAATCATTTCTGCTTTTATGGCAAACCATAATCTATTGTTACAGATGACCTACAATTTGTTTTCTGCCTTACCAACCAGGATTGTTGAATTCCTTGTTTGAAATCCTGGTTTGAAGGTTTGGAAGGAAAAGAACAAATCATAGTGTGTTCTTCCAAACCAGTTTGCAATGTAATAAAATGGGGAGAGTTTATTTATTTATTTATTTATTTATTTATTTATTGCAAAAGCAGAACGGATTAATTTCCATGTCTTTCATGAGGAGAACAGAAGAGGGGAATGAGTGACTGAGGCTTTCCAAGGCTTAATGACAAATTATGATTTGACAAGCAGTGGTTTGGGTTCCCACATCAAATCATACCAGTATCTTCTTTTGTTTCAACCTTTTCATTGTGATGATGTATCTGTTCCCTTTTGCAGGACAATAATTTCAGCAGTGACTCACAGCATATGTAAATTTCTATATGATGGACTTATTACTTTGATTTGGATGAAATTCCCTAATAAATTATTACACAATCTTTTAAAATGCTTTGAATTCATTATGCAGGATCTGTTGGTGTCAGAACATGAACTCAAAGCAAGTCAAAGACAGTCAAACTAAAATTTTGTCAGCAAACTATTTATTTTTGTAAAGACTGAAAACATGGAATGCAGAAGATGGAACTGTTTTGGCTAGGCTTATGCACTGGACCTGTTTCTTATTTTTTATCTTAAGTCAAGATCAAATTTTATATTTAGTTATATTTAGAAATGTGATCTCTGAGTCACTTCATTCCAAGAGGGGGGTAAAGTTTCAAACAAATGTTTCTTTTTAATGTGCATTTCTTGTTAATAGCACATGCCACACATTCTGAGAAGCACTATGTCATGAACTCTCAGCACCCCATATGCCTTTAGTTCTCTAGCACACTATTTTTAACATCTCCCAGAGGCCAAAACAACTCTTTGTATTCCTATGAAGTAACAAGGTATTTTTGTTAACTTTCATAGTAGAATGATTGTAACTAACTAGTTAAGGTTCTGTTTTTATCACTTATTCCATATTGTATTCATGAATCCATGGTACAAGTACGTGAGTCTAGAATCTCACAGTTCCATGATAGGTGCTTAATAGGGTTGCCAAGTGTATCTTCGCTGGGAGCGGGGGGCTCCCGGCCGGCGTCTGGTGCGTCACCCAGAAGTGACAGGAGGACGCCAGGCATGCTGGGGGCGGGGCTACGGCCATACAAGGGAAACCCATAGAGTTTTCCCTTGTATGGCCGTGGCCCCTCCCCCAGTGTGCCCGGCGTACCCACGTCACTTCCTGGTGACGCGCACGCAGGGGTGGGGTTCCCCCCAGGGCCCGATTCCGTGATGTCGGAAATCGGGCCTCCAAAGTGAGGGTTTACCCGCCCCCCGCCCCCACTTGGCAGCCCTAGTGCTTAACCCAAATGTGGAGCAGCAGGACTGTGCCCATGGAACCACTTTCAAAGAGCTACAGCCCCAACAATGAACTCTTTGCCATCAAAAGCAATGCAGCTGAAAAGGTGACTGGTGGACATGTAGCATTTTTTTAATGGTTCCATGAATGGCTCCATCCTCTGTTAGGAAGGTTGCCAGCTCTGGGTTGGGAAACACCTGGAGATTTTGGGGGTGGAGCCTGAGGACGATGGGGCTTGGGGAGGGGAGGGACTTCAATGGGGTATGATGCCATAGAGTCCACCTTCCAAAGCGGCCATTTTCTCCAGGTGAACTGATCTCTGTTGCCTGGAGATCAGTGTACTCCCAGGAAATCTCCAGCCACCACCTGGAGGTTGGCAGCCCTATCTGTTAGACTGGAGATGAACCCATTTATGTCAAACAAGAAGTTCTATATCTAGCTGGGGGTATATGTGCAAAATCCTGATCCAATGTACACTGTATCGATACCTGAATCAAGATAAATTTAGGAGCCACTGGGATGGAATGGTTAGAATGCAAGACTAAATGGAAAGACCTTGAGCCAGTCCCTCTCTGTCAGCGTGATCTACCTCACAAAGTTATTGCGAGAGAGCTGACATGATGTAGTATTTAGAGTATAAAATTAAGATCTGGAAACCCAGGTTCAAATGTCCACTCTGCAATAAAATCTCGCTAGATGATCTTGGGCCAATCACTCTCTCACACAGCCTAAGCAATCTCACAGAGCTGTAGTTGTTGGGAGGATAAAATGCAGGAGGGGTGAATGGTGCTGTAAGTTGCTTTAAGACCCCCAATGGGAAGAAAGGCAGGGTATAAGTACCTAAATAAATAAGGTACAGTGGAGGAGGAACAAAATGTATGATATCCTGAGATCCCTGGAAGAAAAACGGAACAAAACTCTAATAAGAAAGAAAATTTTGCACTCTGATCACCAATTTATTTTCATTTTAAGCAGTAATTGAATTTTAGTATGAGCTTGTGATATAATACTGGATTTTGGGGTGATAGATAATTCTTTGCTTTGTAGGAAACACTATACAGTTGTCTTTGTCATTTGACATCTTTGGAGCACTTCTTGACACTTGCACTGAGTACTTTTTAAATAAAATCCAGTTTTTAAATCATGCATTTAAAGTCTAGAAACAGAATAAGGTGATTTACCACTTAAATTATAGCTCTTTTCAAACAGGAAGCAAGAGGGCAAGCAGAACGGCTAGAGTGAGCAAATAAAGGTTCTGGGCATACTTCCAGTTTTAAATCAAAGACCAAACAAGGGGAATTTTGAAGAGGAAAGAAAGAATGTATAGGTCAACGTGGAAAATATGCCCCAAGTCATGAGAAAATATCTTTCTGGCTAAAGTCAAACAATTTTTTTCATATAAAATGATGATTACTGGGAAATCTGCAAGCTCATAGAATGTTTCAAACATTTCAGAAGAGAGCATCCCTTTTCTCTTTGGAAAAGTATTTGGCTTTTATGATTCGGTCAATGACTACTTTAAATATTTTATATAGTTCATCCCCCCTCACCACATTCCAATAGGAATCCATTCCATTCAGCTCAAAGCACAGTAATGATCAAAGTAGAAGCACAGTTGCTAAAGAATTATAAATAATTTTAGCCCTCTCTTTATATTAGGCAAAGACAGACAGAGCAATATTACAAACTATTCTGTTTTGACAATCCCCAAGCTTATGTGCCTTGTATATACAACATAGTTTACTCTGCAGTAGCTGCCATCTGTCTCTAGATCCTTGTTTTTCTTTAGTAAGTAACACTTGTAACTGGCTTTAGGAATATTTGGTTTTACCCAGTGGAAATCACACCCTATTATAAAATTTTGACAAAGCCAGTTCGGTGGGGGGGGGGCATGCGTCAGAGAACATGTGCAGAAACCTTATGAGTACAGAGGGACGTTCTCCATTCCTTCCTGATAAACATCAAACAGGGGCTTGGGCAATATTAACAATATACAGAGTGTCTGAATCTGGGACAAAGACAGCTCTTCCCGCAAAAGAGCAAGATGTCTGGAAGCTAAATTGCTAAGAATGAATCACTTCCTCCACGCATACACACCGGTCCCAAACACTGCCTGGGGTGAGGGTGGGGGAGGAGGAAAGCTTCTTTTTAGTTATGAAGCCCGTGGAAGCTAGCAGCTTCGGCTATTGACAAGTGAAGGCAAAAGCTTTCTCCCGGAGCTCAGCGGGACTCCTGAAGTGTTTCCTTGGCACATGGTAGCCAAACAAAAGCTATTAGACAATGCCATCACAGCACTCTGGTTTCTCATTAATAGAGGCTTAGGGATGCCACAGTAACAAAGGGAGCAAGTTGTGATTAAAAGAAGACCTCTCTTCATAGGTAAAACGAAGACCTGGGCACAGACATTTTTGTTAGCCTCAGGATGTGCCTGGTGTTAAAATGTGAAGGGCACGAATCAAAAGATACAGGAAATGTGAATCAAAGGAGCTGGTCTGGAAACCAGATTCAGGTTGTAATCTGTGACGCATCCTTTACAGCGTAACCCTAACTATGCTTACTCAGTAAGTCTCATCGATTTTACTTAAACTTACAAGTAAGTATGCTTTGGATTGCTAGTCTCATTGTTTAGTGTTTCAATATGTTTATTCCAAACTCTATCTTTATTTAAGCTTTAGCAACTTGGTGTTCTTCTTTTGAGCTTTCTCTTCACTCCCCCCCCCCCCCCCATATAGCAGCCCTGTCCTTGTATCGCCCTGACCTGGATGGCACAGGCAAGTCCAGTCTCATCAGATCTTGGAAGCTAATAAAGGTCGGCCCTGGCGAGTATTTGGATGGGAGGCCACCAAGGAAGTCCAGGGTCACTCTGCAGAGGCAGGCAATGGCAAACCACCTCTGAATGTCTCTTGCCTTGAAAACCCTGTGGGGGTCACCATAAATCTGCTGCAACTTGACAGCACTTTCCACCACCACCACCACCACCACATCCTTGCATCACAAAGGTTTATACAAACAGTGCCCACCCGAGTATAATACCCATGAATGTTACTTCTCTAAGAAAGTGATACAAAGAAACACACAAGAGAAACAACAAGCTGGTAAAAAGGGGGGAGCGAAGGGGGAGACCACAACTTTAAAAAACAGACACGGTCCATACATGTTCTTACCTTAAAATTGTGTGCTTTCTCGTAGTTGAAATAGTTGTCGTTTTGTGTTAATGCTGCTCTCCTGACCAAGGAGGTGATCTGTGAATAGGCAAAGAGTTTCAGAGGTTGCCATAAGAGTGCCCCCTTGACACCCATCTTCACCCCCAACGCCACTGCCAGCAGCTCCTGGCGCTTCCTCCCTCGCTTAGATTTGTGAACCACGGCACAGGCTTTCTCATTTTCAGGCCACAGCTCCTCAGCGAACATTGTGCTCGGTTCCCAGATTTTTTGCCTGTCTTCCTCTGAGCCTGGCAGGCTTGCTGCCGTCAGGGTTGTCCAGCTAGTCCTAATGTTAGACAGCAGATTCGAAGCAGCTGCAGCCCATTCTGCCGAGACCTCTGGCATGTGACTTGAATGGGCTGTCTTGTGTGATGGAAGGAGCTTCTGCATCTGAATCAGCAGCAGCCTGCTTTGTGGTACTTCTTTAAGGCAGACGTGTGTCTGAAACAATAGCTGGGATTCATGTACTGCACAGCTCTGCCTGCCTTCTCTTGCTCCCTCCCACCCCCAGCAGTGGTATCCTGCCAGACGCTGAAGAAATATAGGCAGCAGCACAGCTTTACGGCTTCACGCCACAACAAATTTCAAAGGGTAGATCACTTCTACTTGGGAGCTCCCCCCCCACCTCCCTCTGCAAATGACTCTGATGTTGCATCCAATTGCACTCAGAGCCGGGGACTTGTGAGCTGTTCCAGTACAAACACCAAGCAGATTAAGCTTTTAAATCCCAATGATTGTTTAATCTTACAGGGCTAAAAAAATTCTTTTTTTTCATATCCCGTGCAAGTGAAAAGCTGGTAGCACTTGAAGGATTAGCAGTCGATCTTTGCAATGCATTAAATTAAGGATGTTTTTGGGGGAGGGCTCCAGTTTAGAACATAAGAAGTAATCCCATCATCTTGGTACCAGATGCAAATGGCAGGCCCAGCCTATAATTTGAGCTACATTGGAAAATTGCATGGAATCCTACTGGAGACATCAAGACAGTCGCAGGGGTATGAGGACTCATCCAGCCCGATAAATGTTATATGGCAGGCTGGTGACCAATGAGTTTCCTCTCTTATTTGTTATGGCAGTCATATAGAGACCAGGGAGAAACAGTTATGTGTGGCATGACTACATGTAGGGATTCTGTCTCTGGTTCTTCACATAGATTGGTCAACTGCACATGGAGACTCAATTGGGCTGATCCATATGGGGCTTTGTCATTTTTATACTAACAGTCTGGAGGAATGCTAGGGAGTTGGAAACAGTCAAGCAGAAGAACAATGTACAGTCTGGGCACACCATGCACAGGCCAGGGGAGCAGCTTTTTAAAAATCCTCATGTCACCTGACTTCAGATGAGCTGGCAACTGCAGTACCACCCCCTGACCATCTGTGGTAGCACCACTGAAGAGTGGCAGAAAACAGATGAGGATCTCCCCCAGCAATGTACCATGGTGGCACAGTGTCAGGATCTGGGTCTCACAGGTGCCTTATAGCTTACATGGAGTCCTTACCATGTACAAATGTTTCTTGACAGCCTCATTATGAGACTGCCCCATATGCACGGCCAAACACCACTGACAACAAGCGAATGGTACTGTGGCAAAACTGTTGGTTATGTCAGCACTTGCAGAATAGTTGTTCTGTATAATCAAAGGGAGGGATAAATCCATTGCAGGTGCAAAAGCAATTCCCAATGATTGTATGATACAAGCATCTCTTAAACTGTTGGTTGTTCAAGCACATCCTTGTGTGCAGAAACACTTTCGTGCACATCACAAAAGTTATAATAGTTATGGTTCCTGAACACTTCTGACAGGTATTACCACTCATGGCACCACAACAGAATGTGGACAGGATGTGAAGAAGGCTTATTAGTATGAGCTGCTCTCATATCTGTGTGGAATAGGGTTGCCAGCTCTGGGTGGGAAATACCTGGAGATTTGGGGGCTGGAGCCTGAGGGGGGTGGGGCTTTGGAAGAGGGGAGGGACTTCAGTGGGAAATAATGCCACAGAGTCTGCCTTCCAAAGCAGCCATTTTCTGTAGGTGAACTGATCTCTATCACCTGGAGACCAGTTGTTATAGCAGGAGATCTCCAGCCACTACCTGGAGGCTGGCAACCCTGTGGAAAGAAGCTCTGTACGTGGCTTGAATATCTAGTTCTTGTTTGTCTTACATTTGTCAGTTTCATGGCCAGACCAAGTGCTTTCAATCAGTGGTTAGAAACATATAACCATTGTATGCGCTGTCTATATAATATGGGAAATAATAATAGGGATGGGCACAAACCGGCTCACAAACAAAAGTTTGTCATGAATTTTGGCTGGTTCTTGGATTGCGATGCGATGTTCCCGGTGGGGAGACCGTTGTTCATGGTGGTTCCTGAATTGATACATTTCCAGACAGATTGTCTCTGCTCAATTAAAATGTTTACAAAACTTCAAAGCAACAGGGGGGATTCTCCAGCCTTGGAAACACCAATAGGAGCCCTCCAAAGCTTAAAAGGCACTACTGGCTCCTGGAGACCAGTTGTTATAGCAGGAGATCTCCAGCCACTACCTGGAGGCTGGCAACCCTGTGGAAAGAAGCTCTGTACGTGGCTTGAATATCTAGTTCTTGTTTGTCTTACATTTGTCAGTTTCATGGCCAGACCAAGTGCTTTCAATCAGTGGTTAGAAACATATAACCATTGTATGCGCTGTCTATATAATATGGGAAATAATAATAGGGATGGGCACAAACCGGCTCACAAACAAAAGTTTGTCATGAATTTTGGCTGGTTCTTGGATTGCGATGCGATGTTCCCGGTGGGGAGACCGTTGTTCATGGTGGTTCCTGAATTGATACATTTCCAGACAGATTGTCTCTGCTCAATTAAAATGTTTACAAAACTTCAAAGCAACAGGGGGGATTCTCCAGCCTTGGAAACACCAATAGGAGCCCTCCAAAGCTTAAAAGGCACTACTGGCTGCCAATAACAGAGTTCCCATTCTGCCCTACAGCATCAGAGTGCTATATATATCAGCTCAACTCTGCAGCCCCTCCTCTGTTGGCTGTTCACAGTTAGACACAGAGGCAGAGAACTTGTTAAAAGCAGAACACATTAATTTATTCCTGACTGTGAACATCTCTTCCCTGCTGGGGTTTGGATGCTAGGTGGACTCGGGGCTCTCAGCCACTGCTCATGCTGAGTGCCTCAGCTGAGGATCCATGTTTTATACTCTCCTGATTGTGAATTCCTCTCCTCTGCTGGGTTTGGGTTTTTAGGTGGAATCAGGGCTCATGGCCATGCAAGAGAGGTCGGGCCAGATGACAGCCTTGTGTGACTAGGACTCCAGCGGATTGGCAGCGGCGGGCTCAATGGACTTGGCAAGGCACTCCCTCACCATCACCTCTGCCAAATCCTCCACCATTTCTGCTGCTGCTGCTGACCTCCCAGTAGTGGGGCTTTTCCCTGGTTGGGCTTTTTGAGGCAGAAGTGCTGGGCTGCGGCTCCTCCCCCTCCTCCCCAGCCTCTTCCACCTGCTGTTACCTCTGGCCATGTCTGCTGACCTGTAGCCTCCACACTTCTTTGCAGAGCTCACGCTTCCACTGCAAGAGCTCTGCATTCAGGAGAGCAATGCTGCCTTTCAGGTGGGGCCAGCTTGTACTCCCCTTTCTTGGGGGATGCAACCTGGTGGTGATACCCACATGCAAACACCCACCCACTCCCTCAGGCTACTCTGTATCACACTGTGGTGATGTTTTGTACTGTGTGGTCTGTATCCATTCCCTGCATATGGAGCAGAACCACTTTGTGGCCTCGTGGCAGGGCTGTCCCCTCCTGGGACTTGGGCCATGCCCCAACAGTCCTGCTGGCTGCTCGAGGTCTGCCATGAAGTGCACAGTTCTGCCTTGTGCGCTGGAGAACTGAGCCTTGACCATTGCCACTGCAGCCAGTGAAAGGCTACGTCTTCCACGAGGGAGAAAGGTTGGCCATCCACAGTAATCATCTCACCGACGAGGTGAGTGACTATTTCCTGGGCCCTCCACAAAGCCCTTTTAACCTCTTGGATAGTGGCCTGCCTTGATGTACCACCCACAGCAGCCCGAGTGCAGGCAGCCTTTCTTGGAGAAGCCTCCGATTCCCCCTCTACTTCTCCCTGCTGAGAGGGAGTGGGCCTCTTCTTCCTCCTGCTGGCAACATAGTTGGGTCATGGTGCACCCTTTGCAGGTGCCTGCGAAGGATTGAGTATTGGGTGTTTGTGGCCCTCCGAACATGGGTGTGGCATATCCAGCACTCAGCCACACAGGGGTCACTGGAGAGGGTGTGGAAATGTTTCCAAACTGTGGACTTCCCACCACCACCACCCTCTGAATCACTGCTGTCAGAGTCCTCCTCTCCAAAGACTGTTAGCAACTGCTGGCTGTCTCTGGGCAGTGCTAACAACTCTTTTGCCTCTGTGGAGAGCCCCGGGAACAGATCAGGGGAAGGAGTATCCAAGACCCCTGGAGATGCCCAGCTAGGGCCAGGCTCCAGTGGGCTGACAGGATGGGTTTGGTGCCCAGGGACAGGGGCCTGTGGTATGCAAGAGGTGGAGGACTTCTCCCCCTCCCCCATGACAAGCACCCTTTGCATCCACTTTCACCCTCATGGCACACAGAGAGGTTCACACTCAGGAGCGGTAGGAGGGTATAAATGGGGAAGACCTTTGGGGGGGGGTCCATAACTGGGAAAGGTAATCCACTCCCAACTTGAAGACATCATAGAGGAGCAGGCGGCAGGGTGAGGTACCATGTGCACTTGGTGTGTGTAACTTGCAGGGGGTCCAATCTATATACTTTTGAACCTGCCCCTGACATTTTCCCCCAAAGCACTTTTCTAGCTTGATCTTAGTCCTGTTGGGTTTGCACTGCCACAGTGGCACTGCTTCTGCTGGGCCCATTGCATTGGTTCTGTTGGGCTTGCAAAAATGCCCCCCACCACATTCATTTTCTACTGCAGAGGTTCTCTGGGACTTTGATTCTGTTCTGTGGGGCTTATATTGCTTTTTTTTTTTTTTGCTTTTTTC